AGTTTTCTGCAAAAGTCCTTGAACTTTGCATTGTCAAACTGTTTTCCGTTGTCCGTCACTATAGCATTGGGTATGCCAAAGCGGCACACGATGTTTGTCCATATGAACGTCGTGACCCTGGACTCTGTGATGTGGGATAGTGCCTCGGCTTCGGCCCACTTGGTGAAGTAGTCGACAGCGACAACGACGAACTTTGTTTGTCCTTTGCCTAGGGGAAAAGGACCTATGATGTCTACCCCCCATTGCGCAAATGGTCATGGGGCCGAGATGGGGGTGAGCAGTTCGGGAGGTTGATGGATAATGTTTGCGAAACGCTGGCAGTTGTCATAAGCTTTCACAAACTGCTTTGCATCCTGCTCAACAGTGGGCCAATAGTACCCTTGTTGAACCACCTTTGCCGACAACGACCTGGCGCCAGAGTGGTTTCCACACACCCCTTCATGGACTTCCCTAAGAATGTAAAGGCCTTCTTCAGGAGTCACACACTTGAGCGGAGGCAAGGAGAAGCCACGTCGGTACAACATTCCTTCTCGGAGTATGAACCGAGCTGCTCTTCGAGCCATCTTCTTTTGCTCCTTCGGATCTTGCGGTGGACTTCCTTTGATGAACTCCACGATTGGGTCCATCCAAGTGGGTGATGGAGTATCAACCTCCATCACATCTGGCTCCAAGATTGAAGGAGTGTCCAATGTCTCGATCGGGATCGATCTAGCCAGGTCAGTCTCATACGCTGATGCCAATTTGGATAAGACATCCGCATTAGAGTTTTCAGATCTTGGAACTTGACTCACCTCGCAAGTCCCGAATTGAGCGAGGTGCGATCTGACCTTGCTTAGATATTTCTCCATCCGGGAGTCCTTCGTTTGGTACTCCTCCTTGATTTGATTTACAACTAGCTGGGAGTCACTAAAGACCTTAGTGTGATTGGCCCCCAGTCCTTTGGCAACGCGCAGGCCTGCTAGGAGTGCTTCATACTCGGCCTCATTATTCGACGTCCGAAAGTTGAATCGCAGAGCATATTCGAATCGCTCACCTCCTAGTGCGAGCAAGAGGATTCCTACCCCGCACCCCCTCTCGTTGGAAGATCCATCAACGTAGATCGTCCACGGGAGGTCGGATTTGGCCAACTGAGGTGGTAGAGTGAGCTCTGCGATAAAATCGGACACTGCTTGCCCTTTCAACGCAATTCTAGGCTCGAACTGGATGTCGTACTCGCTCAATTCCAATGTCCACTTCATCAGACGCCCAGATGTTTCGGGCTTAAGGAAGATATTTTTCAGGGGCAAGTTTGTGAGTACTACGACAGTGTGCGCTTGGAGGTACGGCCTAAGTCTTCGGGCCGAAGTGACTAAAGCGAGGGCCAGCTTCTCCATTTGGGGATATCTGGTCTCGGCCTCGGTCATGGCCTTATTGGTGTAATAAACGGTGCTCTGGCTTGCGCCCTCCTGCTTGATCAGTGCCGAGCTGACGGC